ATGACAAAACTTCATCCGAACACCTGTTTCCTGCACACGTGCGCGATCCTGAACTCAGCTCAAAGCACTTCTAATTCGATTAGTACTCGTTCGAGATTCCGTTGATGAGGAACCATTATTATGGGGTTGCAAAGGGTGGGCTTTAAGTGATGGATATTTGTGACGAAAGTTTGGTTTCTTACATCGGATTCGTATTATGGCTCCAAGTTCAAAAGGCAAAATTCTCGCGTCATTAAAATAGTCGATAGATAAATTCCAGCAAAATTTATTCATCCGGCATAGCGTTAATCGACGCACGGCCAGCTGTGTAAATATATTTTTCCTCGTAGCGCACTCGCTTACCTCTTCATGTTGATTACATCGCGCTCGAAGAGAGCGTTAACAAAAATATTCCGCCGGTTGTCGACTGTTCGAGTTGAATGATTCCATTAACGCCAGCACATTTCAATTTCCATTCATTCGAGTGTCAATTAATTGCTTACGTACTTCCGGCGGCAACATAATTTTACCGTAGGTATTACGTTCGACACGAGACTGAAATTGTTTTCGATGATCGTTTAAAGGTTTGCGTATTTTCCAGGTTCAACACGGGCCCGGCCACTGTAAATATGACGTGTATCGTCATCAATCGGTGACCTTGGTAATTAATCACCGTGTTAATCGAAACGTTTGCTTAATAAGCACACCGGGGAAAAACGGGAACGCGATTCATTTAGCAATTATTTTACGCGATTCACGCGCAAAATTCAGTGAAATGTGTCATGAAACAAGTACACACACGCCGGTGCGGTTAACGGAGTGGAAAATTTCGGAACGAGTGGTGGTCGTGAGTAATTTAGGTAATTTCATGACTAATTGGAGGTCAACGAAAGGAGCAAACCGATGAGAACGATTAATAAACGATCGACCGTTCGCGTTATCGAGAGGAGACGGTCTGATTCGCTCTGAGCGATAATGCATTGGTTACTTTCGGAAAAGACTCGTCAAGATGACTTTTCGTGGACACTTTCTAACCGAATGATTAGTAATGTAATCTGATAGGATGATCCGACACTCATTTATATTTAATTATATAAATGACGTTAAAGCTACGAACTTTTTAAATTAAAATTCTTAACGTCGACTGAAATTGAAAAGTCAACTATTCGCTACACAGGAAAATCGTATAATATCCTTTTCGTAGAAAATTTGTTCATCTTTAGTTTCAATTATAACGACGTTCTCAATAAACACATTAGTTTTCGAAATACACAAGAAAACCTTTAGACCTTATCTGGGACTGTAGAACTCGTCACGTATTATTCGTAAAAAATTAATATAAGTCTTTGCAAAAACCTCCTGGATAAGTATAATATTTTATGATCAAATTTTGAACCGCACTAATCGCATTTTTACATACGTCGAACACCAAACCGTTGGGTGTTTCGCGCGAATGCTCGCATCCCTCGAGAAGTATGTGGAAGTAGGTTTTTCATCCCTTTGTCGACCCGGTTTCTCACGGTCAGAAGTGGTCACGGAACGAGTTTCCGCAAGGGTATAAAAACGAGGAGTGGTTATTAAATATACCTCGAAGGGTGACCAGAGAAAACGTGTCCGTTACCTCTTCGTTAATCGTTCCGTGTTACTCTGTTTCTACACGATTCCGTTGTCGGTCGACCTTTTTAGCAACGTCGGTTCACCGCACATTTTCTGACACTTGCGTTTATTCTCAATTTAAGTTACCAGTGACAAACTCTCACACAGATGAAAAATTTCAAGCGTCGAAAAAACGATGACAAACTTTTGTTCGTTATTTGGTGAATAGAAATTGTAGTCGAACCCCAATCATTTTTATGATGTTTAAGTCTGAGAATAAAGTTCATAATCGTATAACTTGTACTAAATTGCTAGAAAGTTAGATACTTTTTTTTTTTATTATTTATAAATAGCGTGGAATATTTAACGCGTATACTTGCACGTTGTCTGTAAATAATCGTATCCTGTTAACAGATACGAGAAACTTTACAACTTTAATTTTTCCCGACCCGTCAATTTCGAATTTTAATTTCGTACGACCCGATGGACCCAGGTGGCGGCCAGGTGACAAGAATTACCGGTGCCGATGCGCCCCGAGTTCTTTAGGCCGCGATTTCTACGCTTCTTCTCTGGCGACAATTTTCCCGCTGGCAATTTTCACTTGGCAATACGCACGAGTGCAACGCAAATATGGTGAAATTCTGTAAAATGTCTGCCGCGGTAGATGCGTTTTCCGATGACCAGCGTTCGAGAGGGTTCGGGGGTGGATCGTTCCGCTAACCATTGGACGAACGCGTCCCTTCTACTGGGTATAATGCGAACGCGATGGACTTAATATTCTGGTAAGTCAATTTAGTTTCGAAGTATGAAATACGCGTTTTTCTTTAGACCGAAATTAAAATTTGAATGAGCAAGACAACGTCTCGCAGGAGAATAGCGAACTTGGTAGTTTCTCGTAATTTATTTCTTGACCAGGTGAACGTCTAATTGATGCATTATTTGAAAATTTTCACTTTGAAGGATAATAGAAATTTTGTAGTTATTAATTTCTGCGTATATAATTCGCGTAAAAAGACATCTAATGTTTAGCAATGTCAACAAATTTAAAGTATACAGTTTACTAAATTTAGAGAATACGACGTTTGTTCATAATACCGTTAATAATCATAAGAATTAAATAAATGGAATCTATTTTCGTTATTGATACTATCTTATATTTCTTTTATGTGTTCTGGAAAATTTGGAAAATTGATGAACGTTAGAAGGAAGTTTCTATTTGCAGCCTAGAAAGTCAAACAACGTTAATTTCACTTGCTTCCAAGGTGGTTCGAAAGTGCCAAACGAGCATTTACTTGATTACTCGCTGAAACTAATCGCGTGTGAGTGCTAATAGTCACAGTAAAGGGTTTTGATTACCAGCGGTCCAGTTAGCCCACGAGTCGATCAATTGAAAAACCAACTACCGGTGATAGACAGTTTAGGACAGAAAACGGCATTAATTGTTTCCCGGTAAAACGACCAATCGGAAATTGAATTGGCAGCTGATCGATAATCGAATTTATTGAATCGGGATACATTACTTTATATGTAGCATTGTGTCTTCGTTTTTCTGAAAAAATAACCACTATTCGCCAGGTATCAACGGTCGCGCACAGTTTCGATGATAACCAACTTGCATAGCTAACATTTGTTTTGGGAGGATACAAACAGAGTAATGTAATTACGTTTGAAAATATTTACATCGTTTACTGATGACTATTTGAGGACAGCAAAAATTTTATGACATAGAGGGCCTTGCGCGTCAAATTAAAGAAGGAAACGAGTGAACTCAATTAAAATTATATTGCTAAATGGAAATTAAAGTAAATAGAAATTAAATGTAGATTGATTAGAAGACCGAGATCTTGTTTGTTATGTATACTAATTATAATAATAACGAATGAAAAGAAATGATAGAAATGCACTTCTTACTGATATTCCCGTAATCTTTTTCCTGTGTGTAAGATGAAGACTTTTCACTAAGTGGTTGCTTTAGAGTGGCTCGTTCTTTACGCGATGCGAACGGTAGAAACTGGCTTTGAAGCTGGAAACGGCATTTTTCAACGGCATCAGGTGCATTCCTGTTTGGGACAGGAACATCCCGTAGCAAAAGAGTGATTCCCTCGGTATTAGTGTCTCGGGTATGCCTATTGTCATTCCGCACCCTCGTTCACCTGAAGAGTTACACTCACTTGAAAGCTTCTCTCGTTCTCTCCTCTTCTCTCCTTCAAACAAGCCCTTAACGAAATTTGAATATTCATCCGTTACTACATTGAACGAAAATACAGGTGATTAACACGTCATCGCAAGATTTTCAATGAAAGAAAAAAAAAAATGGAAATATTATAGCTTCTTTCCATGTCTCGTGTTCCATTATCTATTTTTACTAATATTTACTTTGACTAATATGTATACAATAGATTATCATTGGCTTTTTATCCCCTCAACAATAGTCATTTTTAACATAATTCATATCCGCTGACGTACTGATAGTTACTAGAGAATACGCCGACCATAATTATGGAAAATTGGATAAATTACGCAGCATACAATATTCACCGATTCTATTAGTAATTCCGTGTATAATCTGAGGCTACATGTACATGTTTATTATTATTCCATTAGGGAGCAGTAATCGCAAAGCAGAGGAATGTTTTGTGCATAATTGAAGTTATCGATGTGAGATTGGTTTCCGTGTAATTGAAGTTGTCAATATTTAATTCTTACGATGTTCCGTTAAAAACCGTGTTCTTTATTTATTAATACGAACGCGTACAGATTGGTCAGGAAAGGGTTACTACTGGAATCCGTCGATTGGAATTTTGTTTTCGAACGAAACCGGGAGCATACCGTAAGCGGCAACGTGTACAAACGAATCCCAGAATGGTAGAATACAACACTCAAATCGCTTTTATAAAAGCTGACGCAAAACATTGAAATTTTCAAAGCGTTGCTGTAATTCGACTTCGATGGAGACGGTTTGCAACCGCGGCTCTATCTGTTATGTACGTCATCATTCCGAGAAGCTACAACCACGTTGTACGCGGTTCGAAATTTGTAGAGGTTGTTTTTTTTTTTTAACATAATGCGTTAACGAAATTAAATGCTATGGATTGCATAAAACGGTTTGGAATTATGTATAATTGTAAACGGTTCGGCAGTGGCGAAGTGACTGACTTTTCTTACGATTAAATTTTTCGGGACTCGTAGGAGTGTGATAGTGGAGCGGGGTACAAGAGTTTACGTGGCGTTGATGTTAATTAAGGGTTCATGGCCTTTCCTGTGACGATTCTTGGGATAGGACTATAACACCGAGAAATTTCATCAGTTTATATGACCAAAAATTTATTTTCTTCTAAAACATGTATAAAGAATTATTTTCTACAACAACTGACTCGCTCTATTTCGAGTTTAGAATAATCACTAATCGACTGATCGCAAGCGCGTTAACGTCGCGAGCTGATAGGACCCAGCGCGTATGGAGGAGCAGAAGCAGTGTCCAAATAGTACGCTCCCTTGGCGTCTAAATCCGGTTTACCACCACCCATGAGAGTAACGGGATTCGACTTGCATTTACCATCTTTGAAGTCACTATAGCTGTCACATTGCACCGCCCAGAAGCCTGTTTCGCTATTAATAGACTCCGCGAAGTAGAAAGGAGCACGGAAGTGCCCGCATATAGGATGTACATTAATCGCACAGCCATTTTGTTTGGTACCGCCGTTTGGATAAAAGTCGACGTCACCAATCGGATCGGCGAAACCCCATATTCCTGCGGTAGTATGGATAATCTCTACGTGTTCCGCATCGCCTTTAGCGATCCTCTCTCCTGGCCCGTCGTTCTCGAAAGCCACAAGAGTTGGATCTAAACCTGTAACAAGATCTCGCTTTCATTCATCCTGACAATAACAGGAGCAATCAACTATTTTCAAATGATTAGCCAGAAAGACATAATACATAACGGTGGCGAGTATAGTTGAAGCAGAGAGCGACCAATGATTTGCCATTCGCTCTTATAGTTTTGCGAAGTGAAAGGATTTTAATCGTCATGAATGTTGCGATGATGACATACATTGTTGGGAAATTTATATTACGAGTCTATACCATGGACAAACTCTAAACTTATATGTATATTTGAACCACACAATGAATATATGTAGTTGAATGGACTCACCCACAACGCGTGCCGCTTTTTTATTCGCGTAATGAGATGCCAATCCTGCAATGTGAGCACCAAGAGAGTGGCCAGCTACGGTCAACTTAGACACATCTATTCCGTGCTCCACGAGGAAATTGATAAAGGCGGAGACGTATTTGCCGACCATTACGACTCGTTTACGGGCCCACATAAATGGTTTCATCGATATTCGCGACCAGTCCACCACGATGACGTTGTAGTCGCCGTGTTTAAGATAAGCTGCAAAGATCACGGAGAGCTCAATTTACCTTAGGCATTTTACTTTAATTTAGAATAGCTTTATTCAGATACGATCTTGCCAACAGCAATATTTAACTGTATCTTAGTTAAATCTTTAGAATCTTTAATATTACTAATTTTACGCTTATTTGAAAAATAACTCTACTATTTATACAATTAATTAATATCAATATATCCTAACTGACGAAATTACAATTGCTAATATCGCTAATTTTACATGGAACAAAATGGTTGAGTGAAACTATACAAATTATCTCTTGATCGTGCTAAATAGTAAATTAAGAACACGATGATTCCAACCTACAGTCGATTACTTACGAAACACAATAATACGTACCATCTCGAATCTCAGTGCAAGTGGGATTGTTGTGAGAGTTGAACCATCCGTGTGTAACGATTATCGTAGGTAACGTTAAATCGATAGAGCTTTTCTGCAAAGCACTGGAGTCATCGATAGTCAGTAACTCGGGTACTTTTGGCGACTCCTTCGTGTACAAGTAGAAGAAGATACGGTTCGACAGGTCCTTCTCTGTATCTTCTTCATTTTCGTCGAAATCTGCTGTCAAATCTAACGCAACTTTGTTGTTGTCGTCATCCACTGTCGACAGTTCTATGCTTCCACCTTCGACAATCGGATCTACATCGGTAGAGCCTATAGTTTTATAGGTTTCGTGGTCAGGAACAGGCAAGTGAGCTGAAAACAAAATCTGAATGTTAGTGAACTGAATCTGGAATGACGATTTATTATAACTCATTTTATATGTCATACAAAACACAGAATTACTGTTAATATTCAACTCCAAAATTTGTCTAATAGAATGTTACAAGTGTTTTGATAAAGAGTTGTCCAGAAAAGACTTTAGAGTTATGTGTTTAAATACTAATAATAAAATAAAATACTATGAAGTTACTTTCGAAAAACCATTTACTTTCCAAGCAACTGTTGGTTTTGTTATGTTGAAAAGTATTGAAAATATGTTACGATGAAAAAGGAAGGCGAAAATCTGGAAAAAATGTATCCTTTACCTCTGACACAGGAAACGAGTAGAATACTCAAAACGAGTTTCTCCATGATTAGCTTGTTTCTTCTTTTAATTCCTACTTGAGATCACTTTATAAAGCTATCGACCAGCTGTATCAATACATTAATTTCTATAATAATACAAATTGCAACTGTCAGTTATAAATGACAAACACGTGATGTCTGGTAATGAGTCCAAGGCTTTGATGTTTCATTAGAATTGTTATGTTAGTATGATTAAACTTCGGCGAACTCGTAAATTTCGATGGAATAACGTGTGAACGATGTGTGTGACGTATTTGAGCGAATTGTTCGCTTACAATAAGGAAAAGTGTAAATCGAAAGTTATAAAGAGAGTCTGTACACCTCGCACGATCTTCAACAGTACCTTTTGTTGTTATCGATATTTATAAAAATTACCAAAACGATAATTAATATTATGTACTAATCTGAAATTATTATATCACCATGAATGTAATTTAGAATTTAATTTAAATTCGATCCGTGAGCAACTTGTTAGTAAAAATTTACTTTACAATTTTAGCTTCATTTAATGACAAAACAAAATAAGGTGCTGTTTAATAATGGTTGTAGCTTTATCCAATCATACATTTTCCAAATAATATAGTAATTCAAATTAAACTAAGAATCTAATCAAATAGTTGGAATTGAAATGAACTGCTTATTCTATACAAGATTAACAGTATACAGATATTGAAGTTTCATACATATATATTCTACATATCCTACGTATTCAAGTTTCATTTTGATACTTTCGTTTATTTTACTTAAGCTATTAGATGACAGTACTTTTTAAATAAAAAATTATTAAAAAATGCAAGTATTTAATTAAATGCATCCTCAACTAAGGTACATTTATCAAGGTTCGTATTAAAGTGAATTAATGTTCACCTTGAAGAATGTTTCCTCAGTATACTATAGTGTATATATATTAAATGTAATAATATAATATTCTTTATTTTATAAACACAGTAAAACTTCACATGGGATTAGGAGAGTCGAAACACGTAATGAAGTAAACAGAAATTTTCTCAAAAAGAGAATAATTGTACTTCCTTTATTCGTCGACGATTGTACATAAAACTTGGAGCACAAATTAAAATGACAAATTTCACTTACGATATGACCGAGTTATATTACAATGCACAAGTGACAAGCAATCGTTTTCGTCCAAGAAAATCGAACCTTATCGAACCTTATGCGTTAAGATGCGGAAGACATTCAGTTTGCATTTAGAAACCGACTCTTCCGGTACCGATTTTTTATTAAGAATTATTGAATGCATGAAAACATGGCGTCTGATCTAATTTACGTCGCGATTCGGTAAGAAGTCATATCTAAAGTTGACTTGTTAAAGAAAATAACATAAATTAAATCAATCTCAAGTTGTACTCGCAAACGTGAGACCATACCTTCGAAGAATCTGATCAGACAGTGTGCTCAAAGACTTGTTTCCTCGACCAAAAGATACCTACCATAAAAGGGCTAATAGTTTCGCTTACCAGCGTTTATCTTTGTCTTTCGACAAGCTTTATAATAAACTTCGTGCTACAGCACCAGAGACAATTAGCATCGAGCTACGAACAGTTACCAAGTCGTCTATCGTAAATGCGTTATCCTGCTACGATACGGGGCCTAGTGCGAATGGAGGAGCAGGGGCAGTGTCCAGGTAGTAGGTGCCTCTGGCTTCGAAATTCGGTTTAACGCCGCCCATGAGAGCGACGGGATTCGACTTGCATTTACCCGCTCTGTAGTCTTCGTAATTGTCACACTTCACCCCCCAGAAGCCTCTTTCGCTATTAATAGACTCCGCGAAGTAATAAGGGGCACGGAAATGCGAGCAGAAGCCGAGCGTAGCAGCCGTACAGCCTAATTGATCGGTGCCACCGTTTGGATAAAAGTCGATGTCACCAAGCGGAACGTCGTAGCCATATAATCCTGCAGCTGTATGGATGACCATTACGTATTCTGCGTCCCCACGGGAAACCCTCTCTCCCGGTCCGCTTTTCTCGAAAAGCGGAAGGGCTGGATCCAAACCTGTAAGAAGAATTTCCGTTCAGCTACTTTGAGATCGTCTGTCGAGAGGAATTTTTATCCTGAAGCAATTTTTTAAAGTTGCACGGTATTTATCAATGTCAGAAGCAGTTAACTGTTTTGGAGTGGACTCACTTATGACCAATTTCGCTTTGTGCTTCGCGTAATGGGATGCCAATCCGGCAACTTGACCACCAAGAGAGTGGCCAGCTACGGTCAACTTAGACACATCTAATCCGTGCTCCACGAGGAAATTGATGAAGGCGGAGACGTATTTGCTGACCATTGGGACTCGACTACGAGCCCACGCATACGGTTTCATCGATATATATGACCAGTCTACCAGGATGACATTGTAGTCGCCGTGTTTAAGATAAGCTACAAAGGTCAGGGAAGATTCAATTTACTTTCGTAATTTTACTCCAATTACTCTTATTCACACACACACACAACTTCGTGCCACTCGTTCTTCTGCTACTCGAATTGATACGCGAGACGTACCCTTCAGTGCTATAAAAAAAGGTAATCTCTCTCGTTTTACAATATTTTCCCACCTTTCTAACGTAGACACTATACCGTCGCTAGAAAATTTCTGTAGTTTTGTTTTATTGAATATTCACTCAGTTTGCAGCACGAACTCATGGAATGATCTAATATCTAGATAAGTCTTCAAGATTTCTTAATATTGGTTATTTTATCGATGTTTGAAAAAGCTCTACCATTCATTGAATGAATCGTAACTGCTTAAGTAACGATTTGATACGAATGAAACACTGAATGCATATACTAAAGATCAAAGTTTAGGAAACAGGAACAACATCGGTCGGACAAAGACCGTATTATAGAATATTGGAAAAAGGTTAGCAATATTATTCAAACAGCTACAAAATCAAATATTTGGGAGATATGTCAGAATAGTCGGTATTTAATCAAAAAATTCTCGATTATTGTAACAAGCTTTCAAAAGTCCCTGAAAATATTTGGAGCCGTTTTACTAACCAGTTCAAAAGTTATAACATTACCCATGTATACAAAATTTACATGTCGTTGTTGTATTTTATTAATGCAAATTTCATATACAGTGGGTGTAGAAAGTAATCGTACACCGATCAATTTCCAAAAAAAATTGTGTAAAATTGTAATTTATTAACTTATTTTTTATAAATGACATTTTACATGTTCTAGGAAATTTCTAGAATGGATAGATTACAAAAAACAAAATAGCTATTTACGTAAGTTGCGAAATTAACAAGAAAAAAAAGCAATTAATCGATAGAAATATTGAAGCAATAAGTATTCGCACAACTGTTTAAAAGTACTTTCCTGGAAATTTGATGTTTTCTAATTCGCACGGAGCAATGAACTAATGTGTTTACGTTACAAACTCTGCTGTAAATGGTTCGTCATAAGAATCGTACAAATACTTATTGCTTCTGTACTTTTACCCACTTTTCGCATTTTTTTTTGTTAATTTCACAAATTATATTAAATAGTAAATGTTGCTTGGACTATATCTATCGCAGAGACTTTGGTGAGTATGTAAAATATCATTGATTACAAAAAAGGAAGTTAAGAAACTACAACTTCGCACAAAAGTTTTTTGGAAAATTGATCGATGTACGAATACGTTCTACACCCACTGTACATTTGTCTCCGATCGTACCTCCCATACATCCTTAAGTAATAAAGGAACACTTACCATCTCGAATCTCGGTGCAACTAGGATTGTTATGAGAGTTTATCCATCCATGTGTGGCAATGATCGTTGGTCTCTTCGGACTGAAACAGCTATTCTTCAAGGAAATAGTGTCATTGACGCGCAGTATCTGAGGTGTCTCTGGCGTTACTCTCGTGTACAAATTGAAGATGACATGGTTTGGCAGTTCCCTCTGAGTTTCTTCTACAGTTTCTGGGTACTTCAAGCTCAAATCTAAGGGAACTAGATTCTGATTGTCGTCCAACATTAACAATCTTTGGTCTGCTCGTGCAATTGTGTATATCGCAACCTTAAGGAGAGGATCAATAGCTTCTTGGCTAACATCAGGCACCGGGATACCTGTAAATGAAATTACAATAACAATAAACTCAATGTACAATGATAATGTATTGGCACTGATTAAATATGTTGGAAGTATCCGGTATTATAGTTAATCAGGATGTTCAGCTTCAACGTTTGTTTAGTTGCATTTCTTCTCTGCGAATACAATGAAAAATATCAGAGTTCTTCTAAAGAGTTTCCTAAAAGAACTTTTAGAATCTTGTTTTTTAATAAACGTATCCTGTTATTCAGAGACTACGGATGATTATGCATTCATGATAGGTGAAAATGTGGGAAAATGTAATGGACTATGCATGAATGTAAAACATATAAAAATATCAATAGTAAGATCATTCATTTCGATCCAAACTCTTTATCTAAGCCTGTAAATATATGAATTTGCATAAACATCCGTAGTCTAGTTATTAAAAATACAATTATAAAGCTACTGTCGAAGAACCAAACACTTTGCAAGCTAATTTATTTACAATCCAAAGTTTTGAAAATACTGCAATCTGAAAAAGAGAACGTTTACCACTGACGCAGCAGATGAGTAGAATACTCAAAAGGAATGTTTCCATGGTTGAACTTGATACTTCTTTTGATATCAATTTACGATGCCTTTATAAAGCTATCGACCAAACTGAATCAATACATTAATTTCTATAATAAAATTAAGTGTAGCTATTACTCATAAATTGCGAACACGTGATGTATTGTAACGAGAGCGAATGTTTCATGTTAGAATTGTTTCATTAGAAATTTATGATTAACCTTCGGGGACTCGTAAATTATGATAGTGTAGTGCATAGACGAAGTCTTCGGCATGTTTGTGGAAGCTGTTTACTCATATAACAAGTTTAAGTCAATAAGGTTAATTTGTTTTTATTCTGAAAATTATGAAGAATTAATTGAATTTAATGTTATATACCATAAAATCAGAATTATTATATTATAAAAAAATTAATTTAAAATTGATATTCCAATTTTAATTCGTAAAACATCTTTGTTACTTAACACCTATACAAGTATACGTTCCATTTTGCTTAAAATTTATTTATCGATTTATTTATTTATTTCATAAACGTAACGTTTTCATTTTCTAATAGCTATTTAAATAATTGTTTTTATGCTAACGGTTCCGCTTCTCTGTTGTCTGTCATTCCCTTGATAACTGATAATCTCTCGGTATTGGCATAGTTATTTAACACGACACTAATCTTAATTACTGAAAATTCGATAAACTTGAGTTCATTGTAGGTTCATATAGTTCACTTAAGCGCACAATTACTCAGATTACGTTTGCGTATGGTACTTACTTGGAAAGTTAAATTACTGAAAACGTCCATCGATCGTGATTATTATTCATTTGAATAACAATAACTCAAATGCATACATCCGAAACTTGTTTACATACGTTCGGAAACTTGTGGTAAATATTATAGCGTAACTCAAAAAGTACTTAGAATTAGATGTGTTGAATTCATTTATTTTATACACGCATATATGTTTCTTAATTTATACAGTATCGTTTTAACCATAGTTTGCAGATTATATGAGAAACATAATTGTTTCTGAACAAGGAAAATAAGAAAAAAAAATCTGTTCATTTTAATCGCATATGGGATACAGTTGTTGCTCCTATTTATTAAAAAAAGTTTCAACATTATTTCACCTGGGAGCCTAAATTGAAATCAACTATTTGATATCCTGCTGTTCTGTAGGAAAGAAGACTTGCTACCAGCAAATAAACATTTAACCTTAGAATTCCCCAGAAGCGTACATAAACAGATACCCCCACGACACTTATCGACCCTGATTACGCGAAAATGGCAAAGCAAAAGGAGATTCACTGGCTGTCTTCAAATAGTACACGCCCCTGATCTTGAAATTCGGCTCGGCAGTGCCCATATAAGCAACGGGTTTCGACTTGCATTTGCGATTCTTGAAATTCTTGTAACTGCTACATTTCTGCCCCAAGAAGCCTACTTTACTGTTAATGGACTCCGCGAAATATTTAGGCGCTCGGTAGTGCGAACACGCGTCTATGAAATCAACCGTGCAGCCTGGTTGAGTGTAACCACCGTTTGGGTAAAAGTCGACGTGACCAATCGGAGCGACCATACCGAGAGTAGCGCCGGCAGTGTGGATGATCATTACGTATTTACCGTCCTTTTTCGAGATCCTGGATCCAGGTCCGACGTTCTCGAATCCTGGCAAAGCTGGATCCAAACCTGCGAGAAAATCTTGATCTGTGAATTCTTGTCCTTAAGGGACACGTGACGTTTATACAGTGGGTGTGGAAAGTATTCGTACGCCGATAAATTTCCAAAAAAACTATGTAAAATTGTAATTCATGAAGTTATTTTTTATAAACAATGACATTCTACATATCCTCGGAAATCTCTAGTGTAGATAGAGTACAAAAAAGAATAGCTATTTGTGTGAGTTGCGAAATTAACAAGAAGAAAACAATTAATCGATAGAAATATTAAAGGAATAAGTATTCGCACAGCTGTTTAAAAGTACTTTCCTGGAAATTTCATGTTTTCTAATTCGTACGGAGCAATAAACGAATGTGTTTACGTTACAAACTCTAAATGGTTCGTACAAGTACTAATTGCTTCTACACTTTTACCTACTTTTCGCATTTTTTTTGTTAACTTCACAAAATATATTAACTAGTAAATGTTGTATGGACTATATCTATCTTAGAGACTTCCGAGAATATGTAAAATATCATTGATTATAAAAAAGAAGTTAAGAAACTACAATTTCACACAAAAGTTTTTTGGAAAATTGATCGGTGTACGAATACATTCTGCACCCACTGTAAATATTAGTGACGGTGAGTAATTATACTAATGAATATCTATACTAATCAGGATACGATATCTCACACAATTTTTGGAATTTAATAAGATCTCTTTCCTCTCGATAAGAATTTAACGAGATCAGATAAAAATGCTGTTGAAAATTGAGACAAGGAGGCAGCGGTATAGGCAGTGAGCGCCTGAGTAGTTACCAACGACGTAATCCACTTTGCTTCTGGCGTAATAGGCTGCCAAACCAGCAACATGAGCACCTAGGGAATGGCCCACTGTGGTCATCTTAGATACATCCACTCCTTGATCCTCGATGAAATCGATCATAGAGGAAACATGTTTGCCGACCATTACAACTCGATTACAGGCAAAAGGATACGAGTTCTTAGTAATAGGTGACCAGTCCACCAGTATAACGTTATACTCGCCATGTTTGAGATAAGCTGCAAATAAGAAATACGAAAAACGGATAAAACAGATAAAATTCGATCCTTTTCAGCTAGTCTAGTTTCTCGTTAATCGATACGATTTTCGTTAGACAGTCCTGAATTTTTAATGTGAATATAAAAAAAATAACAATCTCATCCAATTGCCATTACGAAAGTTGCGACTTATGCGAAGTAAGATTGGATTACGATCACAAACAGCTATAAAATCTAAAATTTGCGAACTTCTGAAAAATCTTTCGAGATAGACAAAAGTAACATACCGTCCTTAACTTGAGTGCAGGCGGGATTCAAGTGAGAATTTGACCATCCGTGCGCGACGAATACCGTTGGATTCTGCATATTGAACAGGCTAAATTCAAAAGTCCAGGTGTCATTGACGAACAACAACTGAGGAAGAATCGGGTTTAAATTTGTGTACAAGTAGAAGGTTACATCCTCTTTTATTGCGCTTTCTGTATCTCGCAGAGCTTCTTCGGAAGTTAAACTTAAATCTAACTGAACAGGCCTATTGTAGTCATCAAACACGAACAGATTCAGGGGAAAATGTGCGCCTAGGTTTATTATAAACTCCATGGTATCGTTTATATCATTTGCGATAGTATTAAGCACCTCGAGTCCTGCAAACAGTTTGACCGTGCCAAATGTTGGTTCATATTACATTTATGGACAGAGAATAGTGCTGCTGATTTTAATAAAGTACTTAAAATAATACCACGTACAGTAATAAATAAAAAAGAATGCTAATAGCGTTTCTACTCCAACGGAACAGTGACCATTGTCAGAGCTATGATACTTTTCATGGAATTATGCAATGTATGTATGCTGAGGATTAGTGTAGCATGACAATTTACGAAGAATGCAAGCAGCAGTGAATCAGAACAAGTGTAATGTTTACCATTGGCACTGTAAACGAGGAAAAAGCTAATCAAGATGTGTGTCTTCATGGTGGATAACTGCTCTACCTTCATAAAGCCCTCGATCAATTAAATGAAACGATGGCTACCGCGAGAGAAGTAATTTCCACACTAACCATTTAATACCGTGTTAAACGTTCCGAAAGATTGCTTATTAACTGATCCCTTCTTTGCCAAAAACGCGTAACGAGGCGTATTTAAATATAACAAAAAACGGAGAAGGAGTGAGAACAAGTTTGTGTTTACATACGTTGCGATAATGTTATGAACACTATCTATGACAGTTCGACAGCGAGAAGTACAACGCACGCATTTTTCCATACGTACAAAAGTCTCTTAATTCAATCCACGAAGAAAAAAACGTACGAGGTGTTTCGTTTAAGCTATCAACAAATGTTTTTGTCATAATTTCTGTCAAATATTGAATTAACGAAGAAAGTTAAGTATGTTTGTTTTCGATGGAAGATGAATGATTCAGCGATTCCCCGGACCTAGAAGGTTATAGTAATTATCGAAAAATTCGTAGACACGGTGCGCGAAATTCACGTAACACTAAAAGCAATATTGTATACTTAAGTATCCTTTCCTCCTATCGTAACTGTTTTTAGCGTTCAAGGTCCGACGCGTACTATCTTTACCTTGACAATGTAGAATAAACAGACAGTGTCAAAGAATGATATATGCGAAAAAGTCAGCTTTAACAATTGGCGCATTGAGTACATTAAAAGCATGGATAGAAATCTTTCAGAGATAACAGGCAGCGTTGGGTCAAGCGAAAACTGACTCGCGAGATTAAAAGTTGCATGAAAATTCTATTTACTGGGTGAGTTTTAGAGCGATTACGATGTAAATTATCCATGAAAAATATGGACAGATAAAGAAAATTGTGCGAGCCCTGTTATCGCAGCATATATCAACCTTCTTTGCGTTCCAATTAAGGGGAGGAATTTTCAATTAGCAGCTAAGGTCTATCACTGTCTCGCTTAAAAACACACTTAAAAATTGTAGTAATATTATACAGAAACTGTATGGTTATTTGTATCGTACTGTGATTATAAACTAATGTGTCTGAAATTGTAATGCTGACAGAAAGCATTCTGACGTGACTTTCTTTATTGCATTGCTTTTTAACCGACTTCCAAAAGGAGGAGGTTACTCAATTCGACATGTATATGTTTTTTTTTTTAAGGTATGTTTACCGATTACGGCGAGATGGCTTGACGAATCGGAATGAAACCTGTTGCATCTTATAGAATATGTCTCCCCGATGGTACCGATATCAAGACTTTTTGCGATTTGTCGTTTTTTACACGTTTTGTTGTTTGCAAAAGGAGAGAAATGTGTAGGTATTTTTGCAGATTACGTCGATATCGTCGGCGCATGGTATCGTCTGAGGACGTTTGGGATAGTATTTGGCGGAGATGGTGATATTGAATAATGTTCATGTATACGTTGTCTAAAGTAGATATAACGATAGCAATAATTTAAGGGTGTATGTTTCGTCACTCGAACAGAAAGTTAAACCAAGTAAGTAATTTTTAATGTTGCGTCGACTACGAAAAGGTTATTTAACATAATTTAATATAAAGTATATAGAAATTATTTCATTCTTTTAAGCAATTATGTCTAAAAATGGTGAGTATTCGTATTAGTTAACTAGAAATTATTTCGTACCTTTTAGTGCAGTTTTAATATTTTTACGAGGTTGGTTATATTTTTCTTCCAAAAATTACTTTATATCTTTCCAATTTTTAAATTGTTTTATCTCTTTCCAATTCGAATATTTCAAATTAGATTTAATATCTACTATATCGAACGCAAAGTGGTTAACGGGCAACTATAGTTTTTCTCTTAGAAAAAATGAATCTACAAGAACGAAGTATCCATTTGTGGATTTGGTTAAAACCTTTTATTTTCATTAATATTATACAGGTTGTACTTGCACTTGAAAATATCTCGTTTCAACAGCATATTCATTTCATTTCATAAAATGAAACAAAGTTTTACATTAATATCGATAAAGTGCAAACAATAAATCACTTAATAATAGAAATAGCTGTAGCTTCACAACTTATGAGAATTTTAAAGATATGACTAAAAATAAAAAAATTGTGTATCGCAGCAGGACCACGCGACAAACGGAGAACTTTTGGTTCTCGTAACCATCATTTTTTAAAGAATAATGCAAGCGTTTGACAATTCCTCGTGCAGTTGAGATGCTAGTAATTTGTGTAAAAGTAATTCGAAATTTCATCGGCAGCCATACTTCCGTCAAAATGTATTTGGAAATACAACTAAGAAATTAAGTTTACTGATGTCCTAACGCATACGGAGCTTCGCTGGCCGTCTCCAAGTAGTATGTACCTTCGACACTGAAATCGGGTTCGGCGCCTCCCATAAGGGCATTGGCATTTGAGTTGCATAAGCCTAACTGGAATTCCAACTCGTAACTGCATTTCTTTGACCAGAAGCCCTTCTTAGTGTTGATCGACTCCGCGAAGTAGTAAAACGCACGTAAATGCGAACACGCGATATCGGCTAAACAGCCTGGTTGCGATTTACCACCGTTCGGATAGAAGTCACTGTAGCCATGCGCATTTTGATAACCGATCAAGCTCGTGTGGATAATCATAACATATTTCCCATCGTTACGAGTTAAACTATAACCTTCCTTAGCAGTCTCGAAGTATGGAAGCGCTGGATCCAAACCTATGAAAACATCATTCTTTTATAATAGTCGTCAAACCTATCCTGACGTGATTTCTTAGAAACCAATGACTGGACCACGAATATTTACGTAAATTCATATTTCAATAGATATAGATAAATAAATGAAATTTAAATGAAAGTGTCTCTTATCTGCTAAACAATGTAACACGTATTTCGTTGTTAATATTTGATATATTTTCAATGTGTGCAGATCTTCGGACGTTTCTTCGAATTTTCAGTTGTCGTGCGAGTAAACTTTCACAATCTACGAATGTTTTAAAGAATTGAATCAACACGTTGCTCCTAATGCGAAATTAAACGTATCTTCTGGTCCTGTCATCTACTTAATCTGCTCATAATTAAATACGAAGCCAAAATTAATACATGACACGACTCACCGACGACGAAATGCGCTTTGGTTGTGGCATAATAGGATGACAATCCGGCAATGTGAGCGCCAAGGGAGTGACCCACAATGATCAACCGAGACATATTCATTTCTTTTACCCGAAGAAGGTTGATCATGGAGGCATCATAACGACTGATCATCACTGCTCGATCACTGCTCCAAATATACGGCTTCGACGCTATTTTTGACCAGTCGACAACGATTATGTTGTAGTCACCATGTTTCATGAAAGCTGTTAAAGACACGAAACACTCATTGGACGAATAAAAATGGGCACGAGAAATATAGAATCTCTTTAATTGCAAGGGAACAGGTGGTTAAACGTAATTAATTTACAATCGATGCACTGCTATTTATGGACTTTTTACTATTTTGAAAATTATTATTTTTTTTCGGTCATTAAAGGTACAAATTTCATCAAGAAAATAAAAAAAAATTGTTTTTTAAAGTGGTACATACTTCAAATTTAACAAAATCTTGTATATACTTGTGATTCGTCAAAATCTAAAATACACTTAAAAATTTAACGAAATGATGTACATGAAATCTTTTGAATCTTGCATATATAATACAATTTGGTATATAATACAATTACGTTTTGTCTCGAAGCTAGTACCAAAAAAAAAAGAAATAAGAGTACCTTCCCGAACAGTGTTAACCATGGGGCCATGGCCAGAGGACATCCATCCGTGTATAATGAATATTGTTTCTTTTGTCGGATCGAAATTGCTGTTTTCTAAAGAGGTTGTGTCATTGGGGTACAACTGCTGAGAATCATTCTTGTTATTCCTCGTGTACAGGTAGAAGAACACACGGTTTGGCAAGTCCCGTTCAGTTTCCGACAATGTTTCAGGGTAACCCAAATTAAGATCTAACAAAACAGGATTACCGTCATCGTCCCGCAATGTCACGTTTGCGACCGACTCCGTGAATGTGGATGCTAAATCCTCGATCCCATGCAATATTTCTGGTAGAATCTGGGCCCTGGAGAAACCTGTACGGAGTATTATAATGGATCACCGATTTTTACTTACTTATAGCCACAATTTTTTTTATGGAAAATAACAATTTCCAATACTGAATGAATGAGAGAATGATTAATGAGTAGAATGTCGATAGAATCAGAAATTCATGAGAACTTCAGAAGAAGAATTCCTACAATCGTAGAAATCTATTCTCAAAAGGTTGCTCCGAAGGAAACGACCGCCTCTGAAATCGTGTACGGATAAGAGCCAGTTAAAGAATTTTCCGAAACACACGTACTTATTAAACATTATATACATTACGCGAGCTGTTACTCTTTCCGATTAAATGCGTTACGTATGGTAATGAATGTGACAAAGAATCGCATGGAGTGGAAGTTTATGAGAAATGAGGGAACGCGAAGATCAGAACTAGGAATGTTTACCGACGATAAAACAAATGAACAGGGAACTTCGTAAGGCGCGTGCGTTCATGATTTTTACCACTTTGCTGCTGGTAAGCAGTCGTTGTTCGTTTATAATAACAATATCCCTTCCACAGACCCGATCTAACACTCTACTACGTCGGCGTAATATAGATAGAAAAGAGTTGGGTCAGGCAAGTAGTACTTTCGAGATAAGGAAATTAATAATGGTTCGTTTAGTTGTATGAAAATCGCAGTAATTGCTACGGTAATTACATAGAAAAGTATGGAAAGATAAAGACGTTTTGCATGACTCTTCTATCTGAAAAATTTGTTTATTGTCACAATATGGCAGTGCATCTCGTCCTATTTTTGGCTATACGTATCGTTGTAAATGTCATTGATCCATAGAAGTACAAATATTTTATAGTATACGTACTTGTTGCGTGTGGCGTTACGCATAACGCATGATGCACCGACTATATATATGATGCTCGCTTTAAAATTCTCTGTTTAGACATGTATGCACGACACAATGCATACGTATGGTATACAATTCACTGTACACGAATTAAATTTCCAATGCGATGCTTTGCTTTGTATTACATTTTTCTGTAAAACTTGAGGTATTATCTGTTTTGGTGCGTACAGTGGAAATACAGAAATAATGTGTTAGCTTTACTCAGTACTCGTTTTTTTTTTTTTATTTATCGTGCTGATAATGCGTGATACTGTTCACATAAAGCGTTACGAATGACGCATGACTCATGGCGTATAGTGTACATTGTATGCTATACGATAGCTTGCATATAACGCGTGGTGCATTCCATATGATAGCAAATTATAACGTATGATCTATGTTGCCTGATGCTTGGTACACGACACGTGATAAACATGTAAATCGAATATATGATTAAAATTTGCTTGTACCAATCTATTATTATTCTTTGAAGCACATAACGCACTAAGTAACAGGCATACCTCCGTGCACTTAACAATATGTCAAGCGTCATTCGTTTAAAACCTGAAACAATTGTTTCATTCATAGAAGCTACAGCATTAAGCGTCGAAGATCTTTATTATACTATTATTGACAGTAAATTGGAGTACATCAATTTGTACTAATTTAATTATCGTAAAACTTGCAACAAAAATCGCCCCGAGGTCGAAGCGTTAATGAAGAATTAATATTAGTACCTCCACTTGGAATTACTTTTCAGATTATTGTCATTTCATCTTCCTGTTCATTTATCAAGTTGGACGGACGTATCGATATCCTTAATCTTCTCGTATGGCATTAATTAAATAAATTTGAATACTGCTAATGAAATACATGCTTTATTGTCTGGTGGACCTTCGTGTCGGTTTTTGTATTCTTAAATCAGATGGTCCAGCTGTATAGATCTCATAACAGGTTTGGGTAAGCTATAATAAAAAAGAAAAACAAAGAACCAGATAGTTCTAGATAAGATGGCAGTCCTACAAGATGGACGATTTCCATGGGAACACCTTGTTACGAAAAGACGTGGCATCTCGTTATTTATCCGCAATGCCCTCTAATCCTAACGCATACGGATATGATTCAGTAGTATCGAAGAAGTATACACCTGTAATGTTCATATCCGGTTCGGCGGTGCCCATAAGCGCAGCTGGATTCGAATGGCATTTGCCACTTTGGTAATCGTCGTAGTTGTCGCACTTCCGCGACCAGTAGCCTTTCTTATTGTTGATTGAATCGCTGTAATAATGTAACGCGTATGTGTGCGAACAAAGCCACAATGGATCAAGGTTGCTGTACACCTCTGTTTGCGAAAAAGTCGGAGTCGCCCACCGGCGTAGGAAACTCAGGACGGCTAGTTACGTGGAGAACTTGCACGTTCGCAGCATCTCCCTTGGTGAGCCTCGTGTCTGAACTCGCATTCTTAAATCCTGGATAAGCTGGATCTAGAGCTGTTAGATGGTATAGATTTCAGTAGCTTTAGGATGTTCTGATAAGCGCAGCCCTTACCAAGTCGTAATTTTACAAGGACACACTGCACTTAAACGTATTAGTTACAGTCTACTATAAAATTGGCCCGCATCAAGATACGGTTACTAGTCACAGATGGGCACAGGTTCCATCAAGAAATAGCAAATGAGATGGTCCACGGACGAGTCGTTGGATCAAATAGAAAAAGAGGGCAAATTTTCCTAAACACAATCTGCGAACTTTCTGATTGTATCTGATAATTATTGATAAATAATTAACGTGGTAATTAATTTCTCAGAGTAGAATTCGTAGTCGAATCGTAAACCAACAAAGACAAATGTGACTGGGAGAAGACTTACCCATGATGCGAGGCACCTTGATTTTGCAGCGACGTGCTCCCAATCCGGCAACATGAGCGCCGAGAGAGTGGCCAATTAAGTGCAGCTGGGATGGGTTCATACCATAGTCCACGAGACAATCGATCAGTTGGGCGAGAAGTTCGGAGACCATCGGAACGCAACGATAGGTATAAGAATATACATTGTATTCAATTTTCTCCCAATCCATCAGGATGACATTGTAGTCATCGTGTTTCAGAAAAGCTGCACACAACATGGAGCACAAAATAAATAAAGGAGGTACCTTCGATCCTTTTAAACTATCGAGCATAGCTTTTGCACTAAAAACATTTTTAACCGTTTCAGATTTATAAATACGGTTAGTAATAAATTAAATGACATGAGACGGATGGATATGGTGAAAAATAAACTTTAAGAAAATTGTATTAAAAGTATTAACGTAAAATAAGTAATATACATATAATGGCAACAAGAGTACGATCGAGATGTGTTCTGGCACTTTAGCAATCTTTAGTATCGTTCATCAATGCATGTATAATAATTTTGGATAATAACATCTCAAATGTAAACGTGAGATTTTGACGGAGTGAAGCTGCAGATCATTCGACAACATTAGAATTTTTCTCTCAATTCTTCGAGAAAGGTATAAAATTATCCAAATTTTTTTTAATAGTTTTCACGAGGTTAATTTTAATGTAGATTTTAAAACATTAATTTATTGAAAAAAGGTGGCCATATTCATCAAACAACTGCGAATGCTAGAGAATCTTCAGCGATACGTTTAAATAGTGGCGCAAATTGAAACGTCACACAAATTACTCCAATTTAGCTTGGAATTAACCCACGAAAGAAATAGACTCACGCGCATGAACGATAACAATTGTTTAACTAGCACTGTATCAATACTGTAAATGTACATTATCTTTCAGAAAGGTACCAAGTAAGTGCCAAGTTCTGGAATTATACAAGAGTACGTACCGTCATGTATCGCGAGGGAAAAGTCAGAATCGTAGGACTGTATCCATCCAAAAACTGCGATTTTCGTTGGATTCTTCAGATTGATAAAGCTATTTCTGAAGGAATCTTCTGAGGAACTTCTGAGGAACCTTCGGGTTCTTTCGTGTGTATAGATAGAAACCGACGTAGTCTAACAGGTGTTCTTTAGTTTCTTCCAATGTTTCACCCATATAGTTCGGATACATGAATGCAAATTTACCTTCTTTATCTAATATTGGATAAGCTGGCAGATTAACGTACCAATCTATTACAGCTTCCTGTATCCCCACCACAACACCACCTATCCCCATTTCGAGAATACCGGCCAGCGAGAATTCTGTAAACAGAATTAAATCTGCAATACGATGTTACATTTTCTGTTACATTTACGAGCAAATTAGAAATGCCTTTCTTTTGTAGAATTTATTTTCTTATCATTGTAAGAAGGGGATTGTAGGTAATCTTTTATTAATCAAACACAGTTTCCATACGTTAAACGAAAATGTACATGAAACATTATGTACGTACGAAACATAAAATAACAATTCAGCGATAGTTTATGGAAAATAGAAGTAGGAATGGAAATCGGTGTTTGTATATATATAGCTCTTTTTCGCCTGATCACTTTTGCTATAATTTCGTCAATTATAACCATTTTTCTTATTCTATAGCTGAGCCTTTTGAGACGTTATCGATAGTCGCTAGTATATAAATTATATTTCTCAGTTTCGCTTAAAGTAGTGAATACGTTTTGGAAATTGTGATTTAACAAAAGTAACCGTTTCCAATTGTTCTTGTTGTATTATTGAAAATGTTTAAAATTAAAGAACTTTTTACGAAATGAAATGTAAGAAAATATGTTGGAAAAATGATGTATTACGTAAAATATATCGCTACGACAAGTCCCACAAGTAGGAAACTGCTAAAGACGATATTCTTCATATTTCACGACACTTTGCGGGTAATAACGATTCAACATGCTTTTACAAAGCCACTTTACCCCCTGAAGTCCCGAAATTACGTCACATGAGTCAATCCTACAAAGTTTGTGTCCTGCAAAATTGCTCTATTTATATAGCCCTCATTGTTCTATTATCGTAATGTCGTCCCCCTATAATTTCTAAAAATGCTATGTGTATTTCAAAGAAGATAAGCGACACGGCACACAATTTTTAAAAAAAGACCAGAAATAAAGTAAATATTATGAATAATATTTATTTTGTTTGTATTATGTTCAAATAATGAATTAATACTTTAACATCAAAGCAGTCTATTTATTCTCTGTAAGGTTTAGAATATTCGGTTGCAGGAGTACTTTTAGGAACATTCAAAATTTACATGTTTATGGCACATGCAATTGTTTCCTTGAGTATCATTATTTTTTGTGAACAGTAGCATGCTTGAGTAGCCATTTGCAATTCCTCGATTCAATTTGAAGATTCCACACAGTTCCAATTTATTTACCATTAAATAACATGTATGGCAAAGATGTACACCTGATATCTGGCATACCTCCTTTTCTTATATGAAGGACACGCTCGCTCTTATCAATGCACTTAACAATATGTCTAATGTCATTAGTTTAAAAACTTAAACAATGGTTTCGCATGTCGAAACGTCCCATACAATAAACGTCAAATAAAGTGACATCATTATTTTTGACAGTAAATAGGAGTACGCCAATTTGTATTAATTTCTGCATCGTGAAGTCTGCGTCCAGTGAAAATAAAATTGACTCGTTCTCTGCTTCCTCTTATTACACCTACAGAAAATCACATGATTTCTCGACTGAAACGGCACCTTAATAACAAATAAAATTAAGGGGAGGAAGGAAACCGTACGAAATAAATTAAAACACTCGACATTTTGCAACGTATAATTCAAAAATCAGGAAGACACGAAACATATTTGAAATGACTGAAGTTCTCCATCTTCGTCTTAATTGTTACGTCCAAGAGCATATGGAGGACTGCTGCGTGTCTTCAAGTAGTATACTCCTTTGATGTTAACATCCGGTTCAGCGCCGGCCACGCGAACTAGGGGATGCAGGTTGCACAAACCGGTCTTGAATTCTAAGATGTTGTCGCACTGCCTCGCCCAGAAGCCTACCTCACTGTTGATGGACTCTGCGAAGTACTCATACGCGCGTCCGTGCGAACACGAGACATTAGTCCCACAGCCTGGCTGCGTGATTCCATCATTCGCGTAAATGTCACAGTGAGCAACGGGTGTGAGAAAACCTTCGAGGCCTGCGTTCGTGTGGATAGCCAGCACGAATTTCGCAGACTTGGTGGAGAGTCTGTTGCTCGGACTCGCGAAAGTGAACAGTGGGTATGCTGGATCCAATCCTGCAAAAAGATGGTACCTTCAGCGACCCTGATTCGGTCTTATGTGATTTACTAGAAGCACTAGAGTTTTAAATGGATAGTAACGAGGATAGGTTTAATTAATTGTTTAGGAACCATGCATCAGGATGCAGTGAAAGATGACTAGTTGCTTCAACTTGCAAAATAAAAGTGTTTAATATCGCTAGGATAATTTGAAAGGCAATTCTTCAAAATTCGAAATGACCCAAAAGAAGCAGCAGACAGTGTTTCAGAAAGATCAGTTTTTGAAGATTAGGAACATGTATGTGCACCTAGTTGAACTTCAAGTAGAGTAATTGACTTACGTTACACTGGAGATAGAAGAAGCTTTAAGACTACTCTAATCAAACAGCACTGTATTCTATTTTCTAAAATACTTGCAAATTATGCATTTCATGATTCTACCCATGTTTATACGTACAGAGTAAATGACAATTTTTGTCTATCCCGTTATTGACGTAATCGAAACCCCAACAGTGCAAACGTATATTTGCACATAATGCGAACGTAAATTTAAACTGCAAGTAACCTAAGATGAACTCACCAACAACATAATCCACTTCGCTTTTCGCGTTATAGCCTGCCAATCCAACAACTTGAGCGCCAAGGGAGTGGCCGATCAAAATCAATTCAGGTAATTCTTCTTCTGTATTTAAGAAATCGATCATGTCTGCCATATATTTGCCTACCATTTGAGTTCGCTTAACGGCTGCTAAATAAGACATCTCCGATATTTTGGACCAGTCCACCACGATGACGTTGTAGTCGCCATGTTTATGGTATTCTATAGAAATCAGGAAACACTGAATCATTGAATTAAACGTCTTCGAACCATGCAGCTGATATCGTTTGTCATACACACAAAAACAAAAAAACTGAGATCGTGCGATTGGATGGAACATCATTTAAAATTCGATTTAGGAACAAAATTCGAATGTTTCAACATTCTTGAACAAACGAACAAACCTTCCCGAATAAATACGCAAGATGAAATCGTGCGTGATGATGTTCAGTCGTGTGCGGTTGAGTATAACGTTACATAAGATTCGAATTAGGAACTAATTGGAATCTATCGTTTAACTGTCGATGTAAATTGTGTTCTCATGCAATACAAACATTCTGAAACAAACATACCTTCTCGAACCTTAACGCAAGATGGACTGGAGGAAGAGGTTGTCCAGCCATGTGTGATGAATACAGTCTTTTTCTTCGGATCGAAGCGGCTCTGTTTCAAAGTGTTTCGGTCATCCACGTACAACATCTCAGGTTTGTTTTGAGTGTCTCTCGTGTGCAGGTAGAAGAAGACTCGTTTGGGCAAGTCTTTTTGAGTGTCCGATAGGGATTCGTTGCTGGGTTCGATAATGTTTAAGGGAACATTTTGGATTGCATCTAAACCTGATTGGAGATCCAGGCCCAGCGTGACACCTGTACGTAACACTTTCATATCAGATAGAATCTATTTTTAATGTTAATTCCTGAATAGGGTATGTTGCAACTCGTAGATGCTGTCAGTTACTCTACTCAATAGGTTCAAAATTACTCTTGTACCAATTCTTTTCTATCTCAGTATTTTGCATTACCTTTTCTGAGGAACAGAAATGAGAACTATATCATAGCTTTGCACGTTAATGTATGGCACATGATATGTCGAATAATATAAAAAATTAGAAGAAAGTCAAAACAAGTATAGTGCATACCGCTGATGCTGAAAACGACCAAGAGACTACTCAAGATGTGTATCTTCATGTTTGATCTAGACTGCAAGATTATACGCGTTGGAGGTTTCCTTATATAGTTTTTAGATAACAATTGTCCATAATTTCCTATTGTTTATAAGTTGTTACACATGTTACGTGATAATGAAACCAACAGCATTCAAGTTTAGTTATACATCTATGAATGGTCTTCTGTAGGTTGAAAAATGATAATGGGCAAATGGAGAGTATGACGTTCGTGTGGTGCTATAGTGATTGAAAACAATATCGGAAACAAAAATTTTACCAATATTCGTTCGTGATGCATATCTTTATGCAACATAAAAATAACAGAATAAATTCAAGGTAAATCGTACAGGTGTATTCCTTTTTACTTCATTGAACGTACGAACTGATTCCTAAACGGAATAATTTAAACTCTTATTTTGATTACTTCCTCGGCTATCAGTCCTTTTCCCGTAACGTTGATGAAGACGTTCCGCTAAGAGTAGCTTTAGCGTGTTGATTTTTTACACGATGAATACGGTGGAAGCAGGCTTTGAAGCCGGAACCGACATTTTTTTAAACGGCATCAGGTGCATTCCTGTTTGGGATATCCTACAGTAGTATACGGTTTCACTCAGTATTAGTGTTTCAGGTATGTTCATTGTCATCGCGCACCACTGTTCGTCTGAGGAGTTGAGTACAGACGATAAAGCCTCTTTTGTCCTCACTTTTCAAAGGGGCCATTAACAAAATTCGAATATCTGCCATTATATTTAACGTTCGTTATACCAAACTTCGTGAGAAGTAATTATCGCATTACCACGGCATTTAAATTGTTATCGATGCTGTCCTTTTGTTTAATTACACGTGATGAGAAGGAGGATGGATTTGAGGAATAAAAATAAAGATATTTGCTAGCGAGACGTGGAAGTTTCTATTCCTTTTAACATAACAGTTCTTGATACATATATTCAAGAGAAAAAATGGAGGAATGTACACGAATTTCCAAAAAATTTGTACTAATTGTCCAGTAGAGACAAATCTCCCGCATCCGAATGCTCCATTATTCGAACAGAATATCTCCTAGCAACAAGTTCTTTCTCACACCGTGAGTATAGTATCCCAAGGTGCAAACTCTCAATGTACAGGTGATATATTTACATTAAATTCCTATTTACAACATTGACGATTACTTATCAAACGAATTACTTATAAAAACTCTACCGTACATTTTCAAATCGACAGACTTGACGGTCTTCACCTCCTCAACAAAAATTGAAAAATCCCATCGGTTCGAATTCTGTTTCAGCTTCTGTGCCCTCGATAGAGCAACTACACGCCGTTTTATACCTAGCTCCAGGATGTAAAGAGATGCAACCCTAAGTCATTTACGTCCTAAGTCATAAACGACCCAACGCAAACGGAGCCTCCTTGGACGTGCGCAAGTAGTGGATACCTTTGGCGGTGACGTCCGGCTCATGGCCGCCCATGAGAGCAGCGGGTTGCTTCTTGCAGATACCTTGTTGGAAACTATTGTAGTCGGTGCATCGCACTCCCCAGAAACCTTTCTGGCTGTTGATAGACTCAGCGAAGTAATGAACGGCGCGCATATGCGAACAGGCGCCAGCCACATCAACCGCGCAGCCTACTTGAAATTTGCCACCGTTTGGATAGAAGTCGATGTCACCTAGAGACTTGCTGAAACCGAGCAAATCACCGTTCGTGTGGATGATCATGACGTATTTGCCGTCCACCTGGGAAATTCTAGCACCTTCGCCAGCCAAATTGAAGTTTGGAAGTGCTGGATCCAAGCCTGTAAGAAGATCACGAGTTTAGGTGGTATGAGATTATTCGGCTAGTGGGAATTTTATATCGATTCACTGTCTTAGAGAGTCGTAAGATCCTTCGTAAAATTGATATTAACACACTCGCGACCTTCGTTTCGAATTTGATTCCTGGTTACGAAAAAATGACGAAAATCTTTTTCTTTTGTACGCTACGTAATTACGACATTGATACTTCAAAACATATTCTGTCACTTTTATCTTCCCCCTAAACATAGAAATTTTCGATATCCAACTCTGGAACTTTATTATTTTCGCCGGTACTCGGTGTTAGAAACGTAAAATATTTGCCGTTCGCGAATGTGTTAATAAATTATAACTAATCCGGGATGAAATACGATTGACGATTGAGATGTAGATTAGATAAAAGGGTAGTTGAAGATTAGCTACTGCGTCTTTAAAGGGGATTGCGTCGTTATCGATGTACCGGCAGACTGCACCGACTCTTTGTACGATAGAGGATCGATTTCCTTAGTTAGAAATCAATCGGCTATCTGTGAATGTGTCGAAGGATTTCTTTTTGGAGTGATCGGTTTGAAGATTTATTGGGGTTTAATGTACGTAAATCGAATTTAGATTAGATCGTTTTAATTCTCCTTTATCTCTGGAATCACGTCGAGGTAGTGCTTTGAAAATAGCTTATGCTTCCAGCGAATAATATGTTTACAGCTATGTCGTTTTTTTTATGAATGTCCAGATTTGGCGACGTAAGCCAGTTATATTCAGTTTTGATGTAGAGTTTTGTTTTCTCTGTGGGACTTCTGATCGTCAGGTACTTGCTTTTAAACTCACTTACAAGTCTAATACACACGGTAGAAATAGTACGAAACAGTAGTGCAGTCAACCGTTACAAACTTTGGTCCCGAAACACCCACCCTAAGCCATGCAACGATTGAAAAAGATAATCACACAGGATTCTTAAACAACTTTGACTTCTGTGTCAAGAAAACCATCTCTAATACTTTATCATCAACTGTACTATTAATCTCAATAATATACGTTTGAGTGTCTATGATACATCTTTTCAGGAGGAATATTCATCGTGACTTTTTATCATAATGCACAGGAAAACTTTTTGAACGTAATAGTCCATGGAAATTGGTGTGCATGAAATGTTCTATTTAGAAATGAATTCGAAGGTAAACAGCGAGCGAATGGACTCACCGACGATGTATTTCGCTTTGGTTTTCGAGTAATAGGATGACAATCCGGCAATGTGAGCGCCGAGAGAGTGGCCAATTATGGTCAGCTGAGATATATTCACTTTTTGTTTCTCGAGGAAGTTGTTGAATTTTGCGACGTACTCGCCGACCATCGCGACTCGCCTACTGCACCAAAGATACGGCCTGACTGATATCGACGCCCAGTCAACCGCGATGACGTTGTAGTCGCCCTTTTGAAGATAAGCTGGAAAAGACGAAAAGCACCAAACGAATTAGAAACCTTTAAGCTTGCCGCTATTGAAGTTTATTCTGTCTAATCCATCATCTGATGGCGAAGAAGTTTCTTTAATTAGAAGGGACCAAGTGATTAAATATAACAAGTGGAAAAAAGCTTTAAATTAACTGTTTCTTTAAGAAAGTCTGGTGTAAACAGTTACTTAGAACAGTTCTTAGTTTCTTAATGTAGAAGTCATTAACCCATTCGCTAACAATTGCGAGATGTCTCGTGGTTCAAATTGATCGCAATTACCTATCGAAGAATTACCATTTATAACCTTTCGAGTAATGAATTATTGCAAAAGAAGTTCGGAAATTTTATATCACTTATATCACAACGTATTTTTCATATCACTTTTAGCGCACCTAGCACTATAATTTATTTAACAGTTTTAATGACGATTTAAAAAACATTATAAAATATTCCAGTGAAGGGCTGAACAAGTAAATAATGAAAAATATACTTACCATCGCGAATCTTGGTACAAGCCTGACTCTTGTAGGAGTTCATCCACCCGTGCGTGACCATTACGGTCTGTTTCTTCGGATTGAAGTGGCTTTTCTTCAGAGTATTGACGTCATCCACGTACAACTTTTCAGGATTCTTTGGAGTTGCTTTTGTGTACAGGTAGAAGCTGACGCGTTTGCGCAAGTCCTTTTTAGTTTCTTCTAACGTCTCGGGATCATCGAGGTCCATATCGATCTTAACAATATTCCCAAAATCGTCGTACATACTTAGATATGTCTGGGGGTTTGTAAGCGATGACTCCATATCCACGACAGTATCCATATTTTCATCGAGAATCGGAAACAGCGAGAAACCTGTAAACGATATTTTCATTTCATGTAAAATTGGTCACTGAACTTAACATCCAGAATTTTCACTCTGGAATTTTTAATTTCGATTCTTCTGAATTTCGAATTTTTGGTGATAACAGGAGTATTGAGAATGGTTACATCGATGATTGTATCGATGGTCTTCTTCGATGTAACAGATTGTTCCATTATTATCCACTATTAAAAATGGATAGTGTGTTCCAAGAAATGCTACTGCATGTTCGAGCAAGTTTTTGTCTGTAGTACAAGGTACGAACACGAGGAGTGTAAATGTAAATTGTTTAATCGTCCTAATAGAAATACATGCGGTGATATCATCTTTAAGTATCGAAAAGATAATTATACATATTAATGATCTAAACATGTCGATAGTAATTCTTGAAGAGTTCAGTTCTAATTTCAGTTCTAATAAAAACACCTTTATTCCTTTTTACCTTTGTGGATCGTTATTATCGACAATTATAAAAGACAATTACACTACAATTTTGCATACGAATGTATGATGAGTGTGCAATTTGAGTAGCAATAAGACAAGGCAGCTGAATAAACTGTGCAATTTTAAACAAGAAAGAAATCAATTACATTATGTATTAAAATACGTGTTAAAACTAATATTTACCGCTGGCACCGCAGAGGAGCAGCAAACTAGCAAGGACTTGGGTCTTCATGGTTGACTGTTGCTCTGCTGGTGTTGGAAGTTTCTCTTATAAAGCTACCGATCGATTGATCGATCGATACATTAGATTCAGCGATAAGATAATGTGTTATTGTTGTTTATATGTATGAAACAGATGTGGCATGATAATGAAACACAAGTTGTTTAATTTATGCCCGAATCGTTCAATGAAATAGTTATTAACGGTCTTCGATGATGAAATTAACATTCGTGCTGCGCTATAATGATCATAGGTGACGTCTCCAAGTGATAAACCTATATCTAAAATGCGTGGTATGGCACAAGACAATAGCATAAGCCATACATGCCTCTATATTCGATTCGTATATATGGTTATATAGTTTCGTCCCACGTACTTCTTTTCCTATGCTATACTTCACATAGTCTTTTATACTTTCGGTTGATGGCGTTTTCATATATTCTCATCTTACTGTCGTCAAAAAATACAATTAGTATAGATTTTTGAATTGATCGATTGTTTCGACATCTGCTGCTGCGCAATACCAATTCTTAATGAGGAGCTCTGATATTGTATTGCGATAAATGTCAAACGAGCATTGTCATATTTTTAATTGTGCAGTACGATTTTTACACATTATTTCTCATAAAATCATGTAAAAGTTTAGAAACAGCATTAATAGTTAATACCTCTTATCAACGAGTGGATACAGTGATGAATCATAAAGGGAAACTAACAATTGAAAAAAAAAAAAAATCAAAATACAAATCCTCAAACTATACGCATTGAATCTTTAGATCAAGCTTTAATATAGACAAGTTACAACAGAATAATTCTAATCCAGAAGAGAGATAAAGCTATCAAATACTCAATCACGAAATCTTTTATTTAAATTGTAATTCAATTGAAGAAACAGGAAATAGAAAAGTAAATAGATAATGTAGACAAAGGATATACTTCGTCGTAATAGAATATTTTTAATTGACATAATTTGTATGTGATAATTAATTTCTATAAATAAATCATAGAATATGTTTTTCGCGGCACAAAATGCTAATCGTTCTTTTGAATCTACATAAGCGACGCCTGTGACGTAAACCGATAGAATCGATAACAGAACATGTAGGTTATAAGATCATCTCTTAGCTGTTGATAATGCTTTCTCGATATATCGTTCCAGAGTATATTCGATCGTATCCACGAATTTTCGATTAGGCATTTGCATACTTCTGAAACTGTTGGAACACCTACCTCGCCCAAAATATACCTTTGAACAGAATAATGTAAGAATCTTTCTTGGAAACGAACTTTTCGTTATTTTGTCTTTTATTATTTTATTGAGAAGTAAACTGTTTTTATTTATATTTGGCTGATTAAAAACAATTTGATATGGTTAGGAAGAGGTGTTGATAGGTACTTGAAAATTTAATCTATTTAATCACATAAAATTTATAAGTCCCATAAAATTATATAAATTATATAAAAATAAGAGTCTCTTAGAACAATTGACCACATTTAAATGGAAGAACTGTTATTAACGCGATAAACACAAGTGCTAAAAATTAATTTCACTAGAAATAAGGGACACGATAATTTATTTTAAATATTATTTCAAAACTGTTTTCAATAATAGACGCAGACATAATAAATTAATTTTACTAGGAAAAAGGAGTACAATAACTTATTTAAAAAATTCTTTATCCACTTAAACTAAGAACGAGGCAGTTTCAAAGCAATCTGTTCACACCGTATTGTTGGATGGACGGTAGTTTATTTAACGCGTTTTTATATGATAAGCAGACTTTAATTCAATTATTTTAACTCCGTCGCGGCTGCGGGTAGGTGTAATCCCCCTCGAGGTGCGAAATAAACGACCGAAAGGAAAAATCTCGGAGTCAGAGGTTTAAGAGACGGAAACCTGTTGTGCCAGCCAACCTCCCCGTGGCTCGCATGTCCTTTTTTCCCCGTGGCCGTGGCAAGTTCTCACCCTTGGCGAGCGTTCGTTTCTCAGACAGAATCAAACAGGTTTGCACCGTTTACGGGGGAATAAAAACTGGCTTCACCAACTCCTCGGGCGATTTTTCTTTTATTTTTCGCGACCCTCCTCGTCGCTTGCGCGTCGGGTTTTCTTTCACCGTCTCGTATTTTCCGATATGCTTTCTGGATCGGTCCTCAGTGATTTTCATAAGAATTGCATTTAAAAGACTTCTTAATTGCAGTTACGATAAAGACTACAAACAAATTGAAACCTAATATTAACCTACAACTATCGGAACATTTTCCACTGTTCTCGAAGCTTCAAAAATCTTGCGAGACCGTTATACTCTTCTTCGAATGTCTGCTATCAGGAAATGTTACTCTTTCGTTTCTAAATACATGGTGGTACACATGCTACCTGCATTTATGAAACACCTACAAGGAACATCTCTGTGTCTGTCAAATCTAACTCACAAACTACCCCAATATTTCATCGATTAATTCTGGATGCCTACCGCTACGTACACAAGGGAAATACTAGGGTCGAGTCGCAATGGAAGCGGTTAAGGGTCACAAGTCGCCTGGAACGTTTTTCTGGGGGTGAAAAAAAAAAGAATGCATTTTTTTCCTCCGACCCTCGAGAGAAAAATGCGGAAAAAAAGTGGCACCTTTTCGGGAGCGAGTAGGTCATCGGCGATCATTCTTAGACGGGCGAAGAAACGTCGTTCAGGGTGCGGGCGCTTGCGTGAAGCACGAAAATGAGGGGGGTCGGCGGCGGCGGCGGCGGCACACAGAGGGATGAGTTTGGGGATTGTGAAAGCGAGGGCGCCTGCAGTGACTAGCCTCCATCGATTTACCGTGCGCCGCCATCTTGCCACCCTTCGCTACGGGGGTTGACCACCCACCCCATCCCACCCCTCGTTCGTCGGTGTCGGCCCTCCGCCACCCTCCCCCACCCCCCAGCCCACCCCCGGCGAGGCGGTGGCAGACATTTTGAAAAATGATTCCGAAAGTCATCGTGTCTCGGCGCGTCGTTTTTCAGTCGGCCTTTTCCGCCCCGGAGGCCCCTTCTTTTTCACCGTGCAACCCTTCGTCCGAGGGAAGAGAAAGCGTTGCGTACGCAAAAAGAAGGTGGATCGGAACGTCGAGGAGACAGGGAAATAAATGAAGGGGACCTAGCTCTAATTTCGCGACGGCCCGACGCGCTAGGAACTCGATCGTCCGTACCTCGTTCAACCGAACGTCGTTTAAGGGTTAACACCTTTCGGACTGAAAGGAGACAAATTTTTTTATGATGATAACGAACTCGCGACACGAACCGTCCGGAAGCGTGTCGGTACGTACGATGTATTTGATTATTTCGATGAACGTGTGTTGATCTTGGTAGTAAATGGGAGCATTCTTGCGACGCGTTGCTGAAATTTACAAGTCGCATGACGGGGTGCATTTAGCTGGGTTTAGTTGTGAGAGCTGAACGAAACTGAACATTTTAGAAGCCGAGAGAATTCCACTGTTGCTGTGTCTGAGGATCATCTTTTATTTGTAACGCTTTTTGAAAAAAATTCGAAGCTACCTAATTTCTCGATAATTTACATGATCTTTTTCTTTAAAAACTTGCTATTTGTAACAAAGAAAGTTAAAGTTAGGAAGGTTGAATCTTTGATCGAATCGGATGATCAGTCAACATGAAACGTATGATTAGATATGAAACAAAACCAAAACATCGTTACAGAGGTGTCATAATTATGTATGATTGTTTTTTTTTTTTTGCATACAATGTTATTTTATTGATTCACTTAATCCGATCAATACGGAATTACGACGCCTGACTGAAATTAATATTGATCGTTATTATCTGTTATTGTCAATCGCGTCAACAACGAAGATTAATAGCGACTTCGAAATATTGATATATTTCTCACACGTTTATACAAAGAATGTCGTATGTACGTTAATGTTGTTATTTGCTTTAGCATTTGAACTATTATAAATTGTACTGCTTTAATCATCATATATTAATACATGTTATTATCTGGGTTATCATTTTTATTACTCTACGCTGTTTTAAGTTGCAATTCTCATTACCACTTCAATCACATTATGCTACTTTATAATAGCTTGTCTATATTATCATTTTTATTACATATACATAACTTCATTTTTCGTTATTATCCGTATTATCATTTTTTGACACACGTTACATTCATTAACTACCAATTACATCTGCTGAAATTATTTTTCGTGCTTCATAAAGGATTTCGTTTTTATCCGAGCTTTACTGAATAAAAGACGAATGAATTCTCCTTACTACTAACGAAACTGCTACTTTGAATTTGAATATTTATGCGAACAACTTTCTGCTTTCTTCGTGAAAACGTTGCAACTTGAAATTATTGAAAAAGCATCGGTTCGGTTTACGAGGCAACGATTACGCGGGCGAGAGCCGATGTCCCTCGGCGAAAGGAAATAACAAAAAGGACACGAGGTCTATCTTGATCGTCGGGACGAAGGGTTCGGTCCGCTTTGAGCGGCTTCAGAAGCGAGCTTAATTGCATCAAAGTCACGTCGTCTCAGATTTCAGTGCGAAATGAATTCGCGCTTTAAAGAGACGGTTACAGCTTGTGGATGAACATTCCGAATGAAAAGAGACCGGGAACAAAAGGGGGCGCGAGAGAAAGATTTCAATCGCGTCTACCAATCGGGAGATAAACAATACAGGCTTTTGAGAATTCACCGTGCGGTTGATCGGCTCTCGATTAACCTGAAAAAAAAATTTTGTTTTCGCAAACACGCCGACGACACCCGACGCCGCGATATCGAAGGAAACTGCCCGATGAAAACGTTGCGAACGAAAAATACGCTCGCGAGAAAATGTACACGACGTGTCCCCGGTTGCGTCGAAATGCTCCAATTAAATGCTGTTATAATTAAAAGAAACATACCACTAACAGCAATGCACAATGAAGAACTCCAAAAATTCCAAAGCTCCAAAAACAAGAGCGTATATAAATAATATTTTACGTTTAAAACTAGTCTTCTTACTAAAAAACCATTTTTTTAACAAAAAAGAAATGTTCAGGACCAAGTGGACTACTTTGCATACGAGGAAGTTTTATGAAGATTACGATCCCACGTTTCT